GCCACTCGCCGCCAGCAGCAGCACCGCCTCCGCGTGGTCGCCGTACGCCGCGTTGTGCAGCGGCCGCTCGCCGAACGCGTCCTCGGCGTTGGGGTCGGCGCCCGCCGCCAGCAGCACCTGCGCGCGCACGCTTCTTTGAGACGGGGGTTCCTCGTGACATTATGTTCTTCTTAAGGTGGACAAAATGTATTCTCTATTTACAACGGTTCGTGGTTATGTACGACCACTGATTTCTCCATAAACGCATGGTTATCTCTACAATATTTGTACCTGAAGGTTCTATCCATCAAACTTAAGGTTCTATTCTCTAATAACAAAATATCACAAACAAATAAAGAATACATTTTCTACATTCAGAAGTCTTAAAGTAATGTGCATCGATTCTTTGTAATTTTATAATAAACCCTATTCCAAGCATTAAGTAATACAAGCATCATAGAGAAGAATATGTTTAATAGCGCTTCTTGATGTTTAATGAATGTCGTTTAAATATTTGAATACATAATACATGATCCTAGTCATGTCAAACGATGAAGTATGACAAATTAAAAAGATGGGAGAAGGGAAAAAGTAAACGGAGGAAAAAGAAACTATGTGCAACAAAGAAAGGAGAAGATAAAAGGAAGAGTAGAAGAAAGAAGAAAAAGAAGGGAAGAAGAAGGGAAAGAAAAGAAAAAATGAGTCGTAGTGGAAGAAGAAAGCAAGGTAGCAAAAGAAGGTGGAGGAGGAGAATGGGAGAGACAAAATGCACGGTAATGAGTGGAGGTTATGCTTGGGGAAGAAGGAAGAAAAGTAGGAGGTTGAGAAAAGAAGAAGAAGAAGAAGAGAATGAGGAAGAGACGGAGGAGGAGAAAACGGTTAAGGAGAAACAAGGGATATAGCGAGGGAGAAGAGAAAGATGTAAGGAATAAAGTAGGGAAGAGGAGGTGAAGGAAAGAGAAAAGGAAAATAAACCGAAAAATAAAAGAAAAAGAAGATCCTGAAGGACAGCTGACGGGCCAGACGTACAATGCGAAGACGAGGAATAGAAAAAGAAGGGGAAGCAAAGAAGAACAGAAGGAGAATGGGATAGATGAAGGAGAGGGGAAAGAACGAAGGTGAAGGTGTGGAAGTAGGTGAGGGGTCAAGTAACGATGAACCAAATAGAAGCAAAAACAAGAGGATGAAGAACCGAAGAAGCCGCAGAAATACAATGAGAAGAGAAGAAACAAAGGAGGAGGGGAAGAGACATGAAGGGTCGAAAAGACGCGAGAAGGAAGAGAGAGGACAAAGAGAAGGTGTGGCAGGTAGCGAAGGGTCAAGGGACGAGGAGGAAAACGGAATCAAGAGCAGAAGTCGAATTCCACCCAGAGCGCAGTAAGCCAGTGAGGGGAGGGGGCGCCTCACCCGCATGGCGGCGACGTGGCCGCTGACGGTGGCCTGGTGCAGGGGCGTGGAGCCGCGCGCGCCGGCCGCGTTGGGGTCTGCGCCCGTGCGCAGCAGCTCCGCCGCCACCGACGCGTGGCCCTGCTGCGCCGCCAGGTGCAGCGGCGAGTCCAGCTGCGCGCTCCCTGCCTCCTGCGCAGCGCAAACCACACCCTGCTCAGCGGCTATCATCATGGTTAGGAAAGCAGTTTTGTATAGCTCTCTTTCATTAGTCTGTTGTTCGATTTGATTTAAGGACTCGGTGCGTGATTTCCGGCAGAACGTGACAGAATGACCTTCCAGCACCTCGGGAAGGAAGAGGAAAAAAGCCAAGGATAAGCACTTCATAACTGCGTTTTTTAGTTCGACCAACTTTTGTAAACTCTATTTCTTTTTTTAATTTCCATTGCATTGTATCATTTCTACGAATTAATTAAAATATTAGTAAAACCAATAAAATATCATTATAAACTAATTTTTATGCACTACTTTATTATTGTAATATTCACATAGCCAGTGCTACCACTGTTATTGTCATTAGTGTGATTTATATTCAATAAATTACATTATAAACTTTATCATTATTTCTATTAAATTAATGAATAACTTGGGTTGCGTCCCGGAACCTAAAATTTTATCACTCAATCACTATATACATTGAATACTTAGTGTTTCCGGGAGCATCAAGTACTATGGTCATTAGTCTCCTAAGTGTAATGACTATTCCTGGAGGATGCAGGGATCCTTTCCCCGTTGGGAGCTGAAAACCGGCAACGGCATTCACGGCTTGGCTGGCGGGCGGGGTTTTTCCCCTCCGGGTGTCTCTCTGCCGGAACAAGCCCTAAACTCTAGAATTGTCTCCCCACATAACGAGGCAGTGAAGTGCATTTAAATGAGGAAGGAAAGATTACACGCGCCCCGATATTTTATTCCGATTTATAATTTTAAAGTATAAATAATATTTGTAAAATAAAAACGCCGTTGAAATTAGAGCTAGGTGGCGTTGACAATCTAATACTTTACTTTTAACGACTGTTGGATCATATCTTTCTTGTTCGTGATTTCTAAACTTTCAGGAATCCTGCTTTTATCGTACTCACTTTCGACCACTTCCTTGAGCACCAAGGTTTTCCCTTCTATCCAGTGTGTGAGCTGCTTACTCACAGCGAAGAATGACTTAGAACAATAAATTCGCATGCGGTATGACTGAGCGCATCTTTAACGTCATTTTGAAGTGCGTCATACACAACGTGAAGTTTAATCCTTCCTGTTTCCGTCAGCGATAATTCCGAAAGGCGGTAGCGAAATATTTTTGAACGAAGACGAGTTACTCATTTTCCACTTCTCATGCTTCCCCGTTTTGAGTAATGTTCTATTTTAGGTTTGAAATGTCTAATACTACAACGACTGTATAGCAGTAAGTTCCAAAAAGTATTATCTCCTGAGCTCATTTGTAATATGAATGATATCTACGAGAATTCACACAGCTATCCATTGGTCCAAATAGCCCTAATGCCCTTCTGGGAGGGCTACGGCTCTCATTGTTGAAATTATTAATTTCCATAATTAATGCAGTGTTGCAATGTATTAAGCGGCGTTCCTAAATGAAGTTTGTCGAGTGTCGACCCAAGTTCCAGATATAGTTTAATGTTATCACTGGCCATTATTCCATGTAGATCAATATGACAAGAATGATGGAGTTTTGGAAGTTCCCTGAAGAGATGTTTCTAAAACGGTGAAAAGTGTCGGTAGAGCTCTTATTCTGGCCACCCAAAAAATTTAATTCATACTTGTCATCTTTTGAAAGAACGCCCACGTGATATTTTTATGTGGAATAATTGCAAGATTTGAACAAAGAAACACAAATGAATACCAATCACAACATAAGAAAAAAAATATATTTAATTATTGAGTTAATAAATAAAGGAATATAAAATTAAGGAAAGGAAACAAGAAGGTGATAAAACAGATTATGAATTAATACTATTGGTTCTATGTGTAGTTAAAATAAGATGAATGAAAATCATAATTTATCAACATATTACCAGAATATTATAGAATTACGAAGAAAATATAATGAATTATATATTACTAATTTGGTTAGATATTTTGATATAATAGTTTTGAAATTGTTAATTGTCGATTTATACAGTTTTGAGTTGTTTTATAATCATTACAATGTATTTCAGTAAAAACAGAATTTTTAAAAGAAGTGGGGGTTCCATAATAGCTCATCAAAGTAACTTCATAATCTCTAGTATATTGAAAATAGTACATGCATATGTGAAGAAAATATAAATGTTGATCCTCTTGTTCTAAAAGTAATATTGTTCAGTAAAATTCATTAGTTTGTAAATGTAAGTAAATAAAGATCTATATTTTCCACTAAATACATCAGAAAGTTACCCACCATTCTTTGAATCAATTTCCAATTTTTCTAAGTTTTATAACAGAGATATAATAAATGGTGTTTTTAATTTGCACAATGGTTACAACAAAGGTTACAACAAAGGTAACACAAAGGTTACAATGATCTGCATTACAACTTTTGAATGGAAGTCCATTTGTGCTAAAAATTGCAAATATTTCAGCATTTTGAAATCTTCATTTTGTAGGCTACATCGCATACAAAATTATTATTTTTATTATACATTACTATTACATTATTATCACACAAAATTGTTTATGAAGTTTGGGCAGTGACATTGTTTTTGTTAATGAAGCTAAGGATTATCCACAAATCATAACTTAATGCAATGTAATTTATCCCCATGTTAATAGAGTTATGAAAAAGTACTATATATTTGTTTCGTTGAAATGAACAGTTATTAAAAGAAAAAATGTAGATACCTGTAGGTTTACTAAGATATTACTCAAAATTGAAAAAGTAGTTGCAAAATTCTTAGTATTGGAAAGTAATGAAAAATTTCACACATTACTGAAAAACGCAAAAAATTAAAAAAGAAAACCGAAACCATGATTAGAAAATCTTGTTTACAATGTGTATAGAATGTGAAGGTAATGTTAACAGTGGTCTATTAGAAATAGAGTGGATAATATGATAACAATGAAATGTTGTCACAGACATTTTAATTGCGCAGACATTAAGTTAACAAAATCTGTAATTATTATATCATTCATAACCAAGCCCATAATCTTGTTTTAGGATGTGTTCTATATCCTAATAGTCTAAATGTACAAATATCCTAATAGCCTACGTTTATAAATACCAGCAGCCAACAAAATCATCTAATCATTTATGTAGAGAAAATCAGCACTTAATTGCATTTATTATTTTCTTACAGCGGGAGTGTTAACGGGTAATATGTAGTATTTTTGTGTCATTCTGAAAACCTGAGAACTATTGATGCTGTCTAATGCATTTGAAAAAACCCTTGCTCTGCCCTATTCCTGGCAATGACCTCACCCAGTCTCTCACGCACTTCAGCTTACATTTCAGCCGATAAGAAATAGGAAAAAATCCCGATATTTTATGATATTACTTTAATAATTTTAATAATAACTTGACTCATCTACTGGTTGATTGATGTCGGACTGCACTTATCAACCAATGCCTGCCACAATGCCAAGACATGTAGATGACTATCCACAGGGTAGCGTTGGCTGAACACTGCATGCCAGTCATGATACCAATGAATATAAAAGTTTACCTTATGATAGCTGTCATTAGTGGTAGAAAAAGTACTGTATGATTCAATGTAATGGGTATTAATCCACTTATTTGTTCCTCTCTCGATTTGTAATACCCTTCAAACTCGTGAATTAATATCCATCATTACATCATATATTCACAATATACTATTGTTAAACAATCATAAATGTGTTTCAAAATTAACCATCATTTGTTGATTTATTTTAAATCTTAGGAAAAATGACAAGAAAAATTTCATTTTATTGTACAGAACAAGCTGATCTGTTTTTTAAAGCCGAAACGACTCGCTCTATTCATAGTTCCCGACTCGAAAAATAAGCCGCCCTGTTCTGCAGTTGCGTGGTGCTTACCTGCTAACAATTACAATGTCTTTGCTTACCTGCGGCCCGTCCGAGCCTCGCCTCGCGACGGCTACCTGGCTGCCCATGGAGTTAGACGGAGCCCTGTGTGCGTTGAACATTCTGAGCCTGCCCCTGAAAGCACAGGCGATAAAATATTTAAAATACAACAACAACAAAAATCTTCAATGACATGAAATCACTTTGAATAATTTTATTAACTTTTTTTTAAATTTATTTTTCTGCCTGTTCGGCATAATATGCCTTTCAGGGGTTTTAATTTACAATTTATTATTACACACAATTTTTGGCCTTTCGGCTGACAGTATTTGAGGAGGACCACACGGCTACCTCGTAAACATAGTCTGCAGAGCAGTAATTCAAAAGAAATTTATTTAATTTTTTTTATTAATATTGAATAAGAGAATAGTTTGAAATATAAATTTCTATGTGAACTTCCATTTTCACTTTGCACATAATAAGGAGAAAAAGCATTTCCGCAATTGAGAAGACGAAAGATTATTCCTCACGTCTCGACTTATCGATGACTCAATTTCCAAACCACTAGAAAGACCCTCATTACACTAAAAATTAAGAACTTACACAAAAAGTTTGAAAGATGAAAATAAAATATTGCTGAAGAGGTAGATATGACACGACGGGCTGTTGCGTCAGAGACGAGAAGAAATGAAATTAAAAGGAAAAATGGAAGCATGAAGAAGACGACGAGCAAGAGGACGAAGAAGACTAATACAAACGAAGAACGAAGTAGAGTAAAAAGAAATTGAAGGCGTCTCCAGGCGAATGATGAAAAAGAAAAAAATAGGCGAAGAAAAAGAAAAAATAGATGAAAAAGACGAAAAAGAAAAAAAAGACAAAAACAGAGAAAGATAAGACGAGCGAGAAGACGTGTGTTAAGTAAGAGATAGGACAAGGAAGTGAAAGGAAAGATCGCTAGCGGTCCGTGGCCCGTTTGATACGATACTGCTCCGGCATTCGTCTGGAGTTCATCGGAGAAACAACGGAAAACTACCATTCAGAGCAGCCGGTCGCTAACATTCTCCTGCAGACAGCGACTGAATTCGACCTAGCTATCTAGCTAGTGTCGAAAATCCTGGTACGTCGGGACTCGAACCGTAGGACCTGATGCACAGAGTTGATGCACAGAGTTGATGCACAGAGCCACCTCTGCCGGTCACCAAAAAGCGGGGTACCTGCGGAGGATGGTCTTGCGGCGCTGCTGCCAGGCGTGCAGCGTGGGCGTGGCCCACAGCCCCAGCAGCGCCCAGGGCGAGGCGGGCGCGCCGGCCAGCAGCAGCGACACCGCGCGCAGACGCCCCTCCAGCGCCGCCAGGTGCAGCGGCGTGTGGCCGTCGGCGGTGGCCGCCCCCGCCGGCGCCTGCACACGCACACACACACGCATCGCACTCACTCACTAGACAGCCAAATTTAGTGTTTCGTGTCACTGTAGATGGTCGCTTGCCCCGTAAGTGTAGTGCATGTTTACATAGCTAGGGGTGGCGGTGATTTTTCTCTCGGGTGTTGAGATCCGGCTTCAGCTCGCGAGGTTTTCCCATCCAGATATCCCCACCAGCGGGGCACCGCCCCAACCGGAAGAAGCTCTAAGCTCCCTACTGGTCTTCCAACATGTGTGATAGTGTAGTGCATGTAAGTAAGTGTGTGTAAGTGATAGGATAATACGTTATGCTCGTCAAACGTATGTGTCTCTTTCCCCCAGGCGTGGACAATAAAAACAAAGCCCAGACCTGGGCACACCAATAGCATTACGTACATTACGTAGCATAGTGCATTAATAGTATTCACGATAATAATGTGAATGAAGATGGTGGAGTGCTTGCCTGCGCGCGCAGCAGCGCGAGGACGAGGCGCCAGTCGCCGCCGCTGGCCGCCCAGTGCAGCGCCGTGTAGCCGCGCGCGTCCACCGCGCCCGCGCTCGCCCCCGCGCGCAGCAGCAGCTGCGCGATGCGGCGACACCGGCTCTGCGCAGCGGGCCGCGCCCCGCACACGTCAAACTCTGCTTACGCACATTATGGAACGATGATGGGTGTTAATACACTCGTGTGGAGTTTTACGATGCTCCTTCTTCGCTCGTATCGTAGTATCACATTCGTGTATTAATACCCACTACATCGAGTTGCATGTGATACTTTTTCTACATCTTTTGTTAACTTTTATTACTTAAAATTTTACGTTGTATTGTTTCGTGGCAGTCGACATTCACGCAGGATTCACCCAATGCCACCTATCGAATAGCTCCCTACCGTATCCTGCTGCAGGTGGCTTTGGTTTAATGCGCTAGTCAAATAGAATCAAAGTGAAAAAGTTGTATGAAAATATTTACTTATTAATGAATTTTACAATTTTGAATAAAATTTATTTATATAATACTATGTTCAATATAAATTCTTCATTTTAGGAGGAAATGTAATTCGTAGCTCCGGTCTTAAAACCGTCGGTTATGAAACAAAAAAGAAGTTACCAAAGATCCGTGTAATTTTCAGAGTTCGAAAAACAGAGTCCTTTGCAGAATTAAAATTGTCATGAACTGATGATACAATAAAAGCTTTATTTCAGTGAGTCATTGTAAATTCATGTTACATTCACTAACAAAAAACATAAAAAGGGGAAAAATGCGAAAAAATGAGGAAAATGATTCAAAGGTCAAAAAAGACCTAAAATTTGGAAAACAGAAAAATTACAAAAATTAACCCAATAATTGTACATTTTTATCACCTATATGTCATGCTAAACATTATTTTACAAGTTAGCTAGGTCTAACGGGCGGAGCGGGGCGGAGCGGGGCGGAGCGGGGCGGAGCGGGGCGGAGCGGGGCGGAGCGGGGCG